GTTAGTAGAAAGACCAAAAGAAAGAATTGAAGAAGAGAGAAGAACATTACCCAAAACCTTAAACCAAAAGTACCCATAGAGAGACATTTAATGCTTTATAGGAATGAAATCTTAGGATGTGAGTCTCAATTTATAAGCACAAGGACTCACGAGATAGACAAATCGAGATTAAATTTTAATTTTCAAGATCTAAGATCAAGATTTATTCTCAATTTGGATTTGTACGAATAGAGAGGAGGATGAAGAAGAAAAAGGATGATTTTGATGGAGGAGAAGAGAGGAGGAAGTTGAAGAATGAGGTGGTAGCCATGGAGAGAGAAGGAAAAAGAAGAAGAAAAAAATTAAATAAAACTAGATTTAGGCGCGTTCAAAATGTTTAAGTAGGCTGATTGATAATCATGATTTACAATCAAATTAAAAATTGATCAACATGAATTTGAAAATGAAAAAGGATATTAAAACAAATAAAAAATAAATAAATAGAGAGATGCATAAAAAATTCTAACCGGACAAACTAGATAGTTAACAAATTCTTTCTCTCACTTTTACAAGTAATGAGATATTGAAACATAGCGGGATTCATGACATTGAGATTTTTTTGGATTACTAATCCCCTCGCAGAATAACCCATACTTTTGGTCGACGAAGTGAAGTCAACATCATAATTGTCGATGGAAAAAAAAATGCAAGATAATCGTTTACAAAATAACTAGAAAATAACAAGAGGAGCAAAACCATGGAAAAGATAAACTAAATGAGAAATCATGGTTTTTTGGTCACCGACATTGGGTTTTGATTTATGTTGATCGCAACGTTGTTATAGTTTGTTATATGCCCGATTTGATGATAAATACTTATAAAATAAATTCTCTTTTGGTATTTGAAGGATTTTTTTTATAAATAATTTAGTGCACGGATAGAAGTGTTTGACCTAAATGGATTTAAAAAAAATCAACTCATAAATATAGTAGATATTTGTTTTGAGGTTTAAGAGACAAAATCTATAACATCTAATACATTAACCTTTATATGGATAAATATATAACCAATTAGCATAGTAGATGATAGATCGATCTCTTTTCTTGTGTTCAATTGTTTCTAACATGTATTCAAAAGTTTAAGGTTTCTTTAGTCGATTGTCATTGTTTAACTACGTACTTATGGTCATATTTGGTGATAATGTGATAGAAATAATCCAAACAATCATGTCTTCTTTAAATATATATCATTTTTATTTAACAAGTGAAAGGAACAATGTCTTCTTTGTTTGTATCATTTGTCTACGTTGATTGCTCGGGTCTTGTCCGATTATGATGCCCTTTGATAACCGACCAAGATTATCATGTTCGAAACAAATTCTTAAACCGACAATTTTTAAATAAAGTAGAAAAACACGCGTAATAACCATGATTGTGTAAATATATCATAAATAATCCAAAACTCGTGAGTGGATACTAGTATACTCGAAAAAAATATACTGGACACATGTCAATGAGACCCTTTTACCATTAGCATCACCGCATGAGATCCCGTATAATGACTTCGCCAAAGAGAATCTTCTATCTCCCACATCACTATTCGCCTTTAGGTCTCGATCATTTCTTTCTTAAAAAAACGCACATAACGAGACATGCATTAAATAAAAGGCATCACTTGACTCCTACAAGAACGCATCTTATGTCGAACGAAGATATTTTTCTAAGAGAATCACCATACTTGTAAAAAACCGTTATGTAATAAGGAATATACTAATTTATACTTACAAAAAAAATGAATAAACTCTCAATTTCCATGTAAAGCATCTAAAAACCACTATGAAGGAAAGATTCTAAACACCAACCGAGGATAAGGGGTGAAGAAAAACAAGCAATCTGAGAACATTAAAAAAACAAAGAGAACACGGCAATACATAGCTAAGTCTAATAAGGTTATATTTATCTTTCTTCTTACGTTAATTTAGTCATGGAAAAATTCTCCAAAATCCAAGATGAGGACTTTATTTTAGAGGTATTACAATCAAAATCACAATACAAGGATACACCCTCACCATACGATGAGTAAAGAAAAAACCCATCTATTCATTCATTCATTCCATCAAACATCTACAATCTCGTCAGATACTCCCACCAGTCTTTAAAATATTAATAATAATAATAATAATAGTATCATAGACTTTTCTTTAATTTTCGGACATGTTGTATCAAACGAAGAGCCAGTGACATTTCCATATGAAAGATGAGCGGCTGATCGGAAACTTGAGGGGATTTCTGAACCACATTTGTAAGAGATGACGCATACCCCCATGAATCGTCATTTTATGAGTCTGGATGATGATGTTGAGATGGACTAGACCCCTGGATTTTAAGATTGGATTGCGCCGGTTGTATATATTTAGACATAGCGATTGGCAATCGGATGTGTTTACTTGCACAGAATTTCTATCTGTTTGCATTAAAATTTCCACTTTCTCCAAGTAGGGTCTATTCATGTGAAGAGTGGAAATTTATTGGGAAGTAATTAGCAAATACTCCTGTTGTTAAAATCATCAAATAAAAGGGAAGGTGTGAACTTCCAAGGATAAGGTGAGGGATCCGATTGTCGGTTGTGGTATCTTGGTGAAGTATGGGATCTCCTCGTTACGTGCGGACTCCTGCGATCAAGTGAAGTTAATTACAAATTATTCTATTTATTTTTGAGAAACAAATTTATTATTTTTATTTTAAAATTAATCATTTATTTTTTAATCAGTATCGAAAATAATTGATTTAATATTACTTATTAAAAAAATGCTATTTTTGTCACCAAATTTTCAAAATTTTTAACAAAAAAATAAATAAATTAAAAATAATAAAAGATATTAAATTATAAAAATATAAAAATATAAAACTAAATAATTATTTTTTAAAAAAATAGAGCCTAATTAATTTTTTAAAATCTATTTTAAAAAAATTAATTTGTAATTTAGTCGATAAAAATGTGGAGTTTGAGGATAAGGTGTGGAATGTCATGGTCAATTCTAAACTTTCATGGTATAGTATGGACCACGGCGGCTAAAGAAGTATACTCACTCATAAATTTTAAATCATTTTGAGATTGAATTTTGAATTTTTTTATTGGTTTGGAAGACTTTTTAAACTTCTAATTTTTTCAGATTTAGCATATTTTTTAATTTTTTGTCATTTATCTCAAAACATAACAATCATATAAATAGTTTTACGATGCAAATTATTCAGTAAAATTTATATGGGGCTTCTAAAAAAATATGAGATCATTTTCATGTTATTTTCTATTTTTTTGATTTTATATATTTTTAATATTCAAAAAATAAAAATATATAGTTTTCAATTTTGAAAATTTTAAAAAATAAAAAATATATAGTTTTTAATTTTGAAAAATTCTGAAATTTTCTAAAAATGGATGATTTTTTTTTTCTGTGTGTGGAAAGTTTCAGTTCAAAATATTAAGAATTAAATTTTTTAAAGAAAAAAACAATAGCTCAAAAAATTAAAATTTTAGCGATTTCCAGAACCAATAAAAATGTTTAGAGAATCGATCTCAAATTAATTAAATTGACGAATTGTTAGAGTATTTTAGCCCCATTAGCTCTGGACTCCACGAAACAGAAAACTTCCTTCCATTTTTTTATAAAATAAAACGATCAACTTCACTTGGGAAAAAAACAACCTTGATGAATTGAGGCATAATGATACTGAGAAACCATAAAACTATTTCGAAAATGTTACTCCACGGGACAAAATTCCATATGACCATCAAAGTCTGTGTTACAAATATATTATATTGCTAGCTTATTCAACTAAACTGAATATCAAAAGCTAAGAATGAGATGCCTTTCTTAAAAGGTGGGAATCATATTGCTAGATGGAAGCGGACGTAAAATATATCTTTTTTTTTTTGGGTTAATTTTAATGCCCTTACCTTTTATTTTAAATGGATTAAAATATCTTTATTTTTAATCGATAATAAAACAATTATCACGACACTTTAATCTAACAAAACTTTCTTTGGTAGTTATAGTTTATAAAATTAAATTTATAGTTGAATCTAATTTAATATATTAATTTAAAATATAATTAATATATTATATATGTGCTTATGTGCATAAATATTTAGAAAAAAATCATGTTGACAAATTGAATATTTTAATCCTCAAAGGTAAAATAAAAAATTTATTTAAATTCTTCATCAATTCTTACGTAAAATAAAAAATAAAATAAATTAAGAATGAGCAAGAAAAAACTAAATTATTAGTAGATTTCAAAACATAAAAATTAAATGATTAATTTTTAAAATAAAAGGATTAATTAATTCGTTTCTGAAAGGGACTAATTTATAATTTACTCTTGATTGGTTTGAGAGTCTTGTCCCGTTTAATCTCATTTGCTTATCAACCACAACCTCATAGCACAAGTAGAAACTGATGATACTGTTGTTGTAATTTCCAAAACCGCAGGGGACGATTGCATTTCTAATGCTAGGGATATATCTGTAATTACGTGGACAATTTTATTTCCTAAACGGTGACGAGACGCTATGGTTCTTTGTTGGTCTCGCGAAGCAGAAGATCCCCATTAGCTTTTCTTCCCCTGCAAATCAAAACCAAAATTAACACAAGGAGGCCCTCTCTGGCTTCATAAAAGCTACGTCGTTTCGATCTGTAAGTTATAGCCATTTGAACTGCATGTTTATACATTGCTTTGCCCATTATAACTTTATTTTTTAATGTGGGTTTCCTGATTTTTAGCTAATTCATTGAGTTACTTGATCCAATATTTAATCAGGGAGTGACAAACTATCACCTGTAGCAGATTATTGTAATTTTTATTTTTTCTTTTAGTTTGATTGTTTAGATCTTCTGTGAAGAAACTAGGTTTTGATGATTTTTATTCTATTTTGCTAGGTAGTGAAGTCTTTGTATCGTAATCTAGATTTCTAATTTGGGCTTTGCTTAAAGGTTCATGTCAGTGCCAAACGAGGATAACATGTCTCCTCATACCCAGGTATTCATTATCTTGAAAATTTTACACGATTTTGTTACTGAAGTATACCATTCTGTTATCAGTAATGTCAAAGTAATCTGTCAGTCGTGTGTGTATATAAATATATTCGTAAAATATAACACCGTAGCTAAAGGGTGTGTGTGTTATTATCGATGCTTTTCGATCATTGTGTGCTTCGTTTGATTGAGAGAAAGCCTATAAGACTCACTGTTGGTGCAATTGTGTGATTGTTAATACATGCGATTGCGAGATAATGTGAGACTGTTGAGATATGTAATGCATGCACTTTCATGATTGCAATGCAACTCTGCATAGCATTGCTCTTTGTAAATGATTTTATGTTAAAACCTGTTTAAAAAATGGATGCAAGGAAGAAACTTATGGTTTAAGTTGAATTCTTGCTATGCTCTGTAGATAACTAGTTAGGTAAAACAATGGGAGAATGAGATGTGGATATCCTGCTTAAAGAGGTGCAGATTTATTACCTGAATTTGCTTCTGCTCTGTTTGCTCTTTGCTTAGGAGTCGTTTCTTCCCCTTGGAAATGAATCTTCCATGACCTATCACGCTAGCACTTATTTGGCTCTTCTAGGATATTCTCTTTTGATCTGCTTGTTCATATATATAATTCTAGTATGTGTTTTTCATGGTTGTAAATGTTTTGATTACAGCTTTCATCACATTTTTTCGGGGATCTCCTCGATTCGATAATCGTTGATGTTGCCTCTGAGTGTCATCGGATAGCTAGGCTGGGTCTTGATCGCAATTTGGAGGAAGAGGAAGAAGAATTGAGGTTGTCAGCACAAGCTCGTGTTACAGTAGCTGATCCTAGTAATAGTGGTGAAATCAATGGCAAGTATGTGGTAGACATATTTGGACAAACACATCCAAGTGTTGCAAATGAAGTGTTTGACTGCATGAATTGTGGGAGACCAATTGTTGCTGGGAGATTTGCTCCTCATTTGGAGAAGTGCATGGGAAAGGTGAACTTTTGACGATTAACATGCTTGGCTGTATTGCATTTTTTGTGATGATACTTGTTTTTTTTCCTCCTTCTGTTAAGAACTTTAATGGTTCAGTACAAATTCTGGCAAGAATTTGGTTGGTATTATGCGTACCAGAATTCTCTAATTTTCACTCTATGAAAACGCTATTCCCCTTATTTCATTAGATTTCTGTTTTACATAATTGGTGTGCTTTGGGTCTCCCATACAGGGTAGGAAGGCTCGTGTCAAGGCCACAAGAAGTAGCACAGCCGCACAGAACCGGTACTCACGAGGCAGTCCTGTTTCTGCATATTCTCCTTATTCAAATCCCACCAGCACAAACAGGTTATCAAATGGAACATACAGTCACACAGTTGAAGAGTATTCAAATGGAACATGTGAAGAGCCATGAATCAAGCATGAGAGATGGCAGGCTGACTTCAAGACGTAGGTAGCAACTACAACCAATGAGGGTTCTTTTGTTTTCCTAAAGCTAATATTAGAAGTGGATTTAAAAAGGCACAATCTGTCTGTAAATATTGCTAATGAATCCTTTGTTGTTTGAAACTTTGGATCTGGAATGAGAGCAAATCTCCCTGCTGCTGTTGAATATTGCTAACATCTCGCTTGCATATCTTTTTCCCTGCTCATCCATAATGGGCCGCTTCTATGCCAACGAGAATTAAAGTTCATATTAACATTAACAATTACCAAAAAAATACTAAAACAAAACCATGGGTTACTATTCACTTTATTGTTTTAAACATTATTTATTGAGATTCATTTGTATTATTCATCAAGACTCATTTACATTATTTCTTTTACTGTATTATGACATTGTTGTAATTTAAGGTTTATTAAGGCATTTAATATGCAAGTTGTTGTGGTATTACACTTTGATCGTTTATTTTTTTAACATATTTTTGTTTCAATTCCAAACTTTATTTCTATAGCATGGTTTTTTTTTAATACTTTAATTTTTAAAAAAATTTCAATGATTTTTTTTAAAAAAATATATAGAAAATTGATCGTTATGTTACAAGTTTTTCGCATAAAATCACAAGAAAGAAATATATGTGATGTGTTTCATATATATATATATATATATATATATATATATATATATATATATGTCATGTTATAATATTCTTATCATTTAAAATTAATTATTTTAATTTATCGTTTTTCATGAAAATTTTTATCCAATTAACTTTTAATTTTTTGTTATATAAAATTTTATTTGTTAACAAATATGATATATTTTTCTCAATATATAGATTTTGGAGTTAAATTTTAAAACATGATCATCTTTTTTTTAAAAAAAATTAAAATAGTTTATATGATGAATTCTTATGATTTTTAAACGAGATTGCGCGCACACACACACACATATATATATATATTACAAATGTATTTTATATTATTTATCTTATATTTTTTAAAAATCTAAAAAATTAATTACTAACTAAAAGTAAAATGAGAAAACAAAAAAGAAAAACATTTTTATGCTTACGAGGTATATAGACAAGGACTAGTCATATATGACTTAGGAACATTTTTTTTTAATATATATATAATTCACGTAATTTTAGATAAATGACAAATAGTTTGCTACTTTTTATGGTTTTTCTTATACTAAAAACGATAACTAAAAAATAAACTATCAATAATAAAAATTCAACAAAATCTAATAATCATTCTAGAAACCGAAATGATATTATTAAATATTAAATACACACATATATATAATAGAGAAAAAAAAACACTTATATTAATTAAATATTAAGAAAATATTTATTTACAACATCAATAAATGATAATTTTAGTATCTTATTTATAAAAATAATTTTAAACTTGAAATGAGAGATTTGCAATAAATTATTTAGTCATCCATATAAATATAGATTTAATTAAACAATATAATAAAATAATATCATAATATACACAACAAAAATAATACAAAATCTAAATAAATATGTATGATTATAAATCGGATCCCCGAAGCAGTGGAAATACTAGTACCGTACTAAATCAATTGGAGAAATCTAGGCAGGGAAAAAGTTAGAAGCAAGGTGTCGAAGAAGTGCGAGCACACTAAACTCGTGCAGTTAACGACCTATTACGGATTCCGTTTCCAATTTCATTTCTGAAAAAAGAAAAAGAAAGGGTCCGTTAGTGAATATCAATTGAAGTGGAAAAAAGTTAGCTCAGTTGGATAAAAATTCAATGAGATGTAGCCAAAGATTGGATTTCAGCTCACTGTTTATTATACTTTTAAAAAATGAAAATTCGGCGGTTTTGATTAAAAACAAAATCATAAGAAAACCAAGAGGCAAAAAATAGGAAGAAAAATTCCGTTGCCGGGACTTGAACCCGGGTCTTTCGGGTGAGAGCCGAATATCCTAACCAACTAGACTACAACGGATTCATGTCCAAGTGGCACCAAAACATTATCAATTACGGAAATTGATTTTGCTCTCCGATTTCTAACAGGTTAATGCTCCGTGTCAGATTGGGAATATACATTTCTCCGACTCAATCCTTTCTGGTGGGTAACAGTTGGAAGAAGCAGTTATACTTGTGTTGCAAGTGTAATTGTACTGCATGAGATTGAGATGTGAAGACCTATAGGGTTGAAGGTTGGACATTGGTCTATATGAAAGGAAGCATTTGGACCACTACCTAGTCTTCTGTTGCGTGGTTCCATTGTTTTTTTTTTTCCTTCTTTTTTTCCGAAAAAGAGCTGATGGTTCTGTTGTAAGAATATGTTGTGGAAACAGGGTCGACATGGTCAATTGCTTTTTCCCTCAAAATCTTTTGAAACGTGCAGAGGCAATCCAGCATGATTTGTAGCCAAGGAAGTGACTTTCCTAACCTCATCATTTGCTATAAATTTGTGGAGATTGATGTAGATAAAAGCTCGCATAATAAGATGCAATGCATTCGGCAGTTTCGCTATTGCCAAATCATTTGTATTTGGCCAAATGTATAGACCATTATTGCCGAATCATTTGTATTTGACCAAGTGTATAGACCACATCACTTGTATTTATAACTGTAAGTTGATAGAACTTAATAAAAAATCTTAGTCAAACTGTTAAATAATCATAATTGCCAAACCATATGAATATCTGTATTTTGTGATTTTTTTTTGTTTTTTACTCCATTATTTTGCTTCATTGGTTTCCTAACATGCGCACCATAGAGTACTGTAGATCAACGCAAATGCACTGGCCAGGAAGATGATTTCAAAATGGAAAATTTATAAGCGCAGCAACAATCTGTGTATTCTAGCTCCACCCAGAATATATAAATATATAAAAAAAGATTATGTTGCTTTTGTTTGAGACTGTTAAGAGTGTGAATTTGAGAATTCAAACCAAAACAAGTTTTCATGTCTCAGATTATAGAATTAAAGATGGTTCACGTAAACATTCTTCCCAAGCACAATTCATCCATATATAAGAAGGCAAATGGATGAGACGAGAAGTAGGTCATCTATTGTAAGAAAAACCATCTGTACAGATGTTGAAGCAGTTCGAAATAAACCCCTCCATTTCTAGGCAAAAACAGCACCCGGTGATCAAAAGAGCGAAAGATGTTACACAACATGGGTTTCAAGTCCTATGGGAATACGCAATCCATGGCGAATTTGTACAAAACCAACCAGTGAACAGAACTCATGGTTAGTCAAACAGCTCCCAGTCCTGAGTTACTTTTGTGGCAGATTGTATTGGAACTGGGGCACTCAGGCTTCCAACTCCGGAAGCAAACGTCTCCCATTGGGTAGTCACAGATACTGCATGGCTACTATTGCTGATGTGGTTAGATTTTCTAGCTTTCAAAATGTCAAGAGTGTCCACAAAGCTCTGGATTCGACGAACCTGCACACAAAAATTCGAATTTATACATCATCATTTTGAGACAGAACTGCACTAAACAACATATTATTCGTTATGTTTTGGACCCAATAGAAGTGGTTTCAATGATATAAAGACTTGAATTTAAAAATAAAAAAGCAAACATCAAGGTCATCACCTTGGCTGCCTAAGGTATTGTGAGTCGTCGTGAAGCAATGGCCACAGGAGAGTCAATAATTGTTCATGGGAAATAATTAAAGGGCCAGTTTGGGTGAAAAAATCTATACTGTTTCGTACCTAAATGCCAGAAGGTTATTCACATCAGAGGACCTGTTGCTTAGCCTTTCTTTTCAGATATGGAGACAACAATTGCTTCATCAGCAAGCACTAATCTCTTAACTCTTTCCAAATCTCTTTCTTTCTCTCTTTTTATTTAGTGGGGGTGGGAAAGCATGATTAATCAATATGAAACTGACAACTCTTTATAACCCAGTTGAAATAGCCCTCTAATCAGGACCACCGTAGGCTCCAGCTTATACCTAAGCTGTCTTCAAGCATATAATGGGTTAATAGCTCAATATATTGTAATTCTCCTTTCCATCCTTAATTGAATTAATTTTATCCTTGAATATATGTTAAGTTTCCAATCTCTTTTTTTATTAAAATTTCAGACTAAACAACCGGAATTATTCACTTGATTTGCACATGACTGAATTTTTTTTTTAATCAAAATACTCTTGCAAACCAATTCAATAAAAAGCTTTCATGTGCAAATTGTGTGACTAATTCCAGTTTTTTAGCTTAAAAATCTTGCAACAAAGATAGATTAAACACTTAATATATATTCAAGGATAAAATTGGTTCAATTAGACATATAAAAACAAATTAGAGAATTACCATATACGGATATAGCCATTACCCAGCACTTATTCCACTTTCCAGCAATGTGTTACCTATATTACAGGAGTAGTATAGATCACTTTAAGCTTTTGCGCACATGAAGAGCAAGCATCTTTCAAGCCTACAGTGAATTCTGACTTGGGAAATTCAACAAGTTATAAGTTCAAAACAGGTTCCCTCAAGCTCTTGAACGAACTAATGAAAGACAATCACGGAAATACCGCAATTAAGGACAAAATTTAGCAAGGAGGGCAGCATTATTAGTAACCTCAATCCTTCTCTGCACTTTTGCTTCTCCATCAGCCTCAATTGAATCCAATTTAAGCAGCTGTATCATAAGCAATTCTGTCAAGACAACAAATTCTTTGTCTGCAATCTTGGTGCCACTGCAATATGTTGTCTCCAATTCAACGACCTGAGAAATCATCAGCACATTGATAACCATTAAGTTCTTTAATTTGCCATCAAGAAAGGCTTTAACTTTTATCTCAATGTGAAAGCTAACCTTCTCGGAAAGTTTATCAACCTCTGCCCTCACTCTGGCAACAGCTTCATAGGCGTTTAATGTACCCTGATTTCTCCTCATCTCCTCAAGCTTCCTCTCTTTGCTAGCTGGATCCTCAAAAAGTATCACCTTTGACAAGTCTTTTACACCTACCATGTGCAAATATTCATCATTCTCCCTTTCTTTGCCTCTAAACAATAACCTCTGCTCCTTGGGCTCCAAACCAGTCTCATGGGCAAGAACCTTTTTCAAATCCCCTTCAATTCATCCAAATACAGCAAGTAAGCATCAACTTCAGAACGTAGAATAAGGAAAAGCAAAATGTTGCAACCTATTCACAGAGACCCAGTAGGCAGTGTGATACACCCAAACTAGCCATTGAAGGTAAACTCAAACAACCTCACGGATCATCAAATTGCATGCAAGAATGAGAGATTTAGAGGGATCATATAGTTAACGACTGAACACAAATGATCATGATCAATCTAGATATCCATAAAGCTAAGCTAAGCAGAATCAATTTTTAAGTCTGACTTTTGTCCATTGGCAAATATGCATTGCATATTGAAATAGTAGAATTAAAAGCCAAAAGGCTTGTTTTAGTGACGACAAAAAAACAACATTGCATAAATGCTACAAAATCTATTCTCAAGCATGGCTAGATCATTGTCATTAAATGCAAAACAATCACTAAAATAAAAACTAGGACCAATCACAGTTATGGCTCTGACCCCACTTTCAAGAATTCAACGGCAATGTAAAACCCCAGAAGGGGAAAATGAGATTCTAGCATTTTATCCAATGGCATCAAACCAAATAAAGCAAATTACACGCACAGTTGATTTCAATGGCAAATGATTACCAAAAGAAGATTGAGCAGGCACACCAATATCATAGTGACATGAGCCATGAGAGACCTTGATCTTGATCATAGGCCCAGAAGAGCCAACCCCAACATCTCTCTTTTGGACAAGCATGCCACCAGGCCTAAGTTCCCAGTCTATCTCCCTGTAGTTAAAATCCCTTTTCTCGGTACTTTTTGTAGATGATCTTTTCATGGTCAAGAAATGGACTCAATAATCATATAGAAGAATAGAATTTGAAGAAAAGTGAAAAAGGTTGAAGTTTGGTTCAGAGAAAGGTCACTGTAGTGGCAAAACAAGATTATTGAGCAAGCAAGCAGAAAAGAAGCTGTAAGACAAAGACTTGTCAGCAGACTTTAGAGCTTAGCGGTTGGTTGGTTTCTCTCAATTACTTTATTGTAAGAGAAAGTTGGTCTAGTCCATGACACTATTTTCAGTGCGTTCAAATATATTGAAATGCTTTTAAAAAGATCACATTATAAGCTTTAAAAATGTTCGAAATGTTATATGATCCCATACTAAATATATTTCCTGTTTTTCCAATCATTTGACAAAAGATGATAATCAACAGAATTAATAAAAGTAGGAAAAAACTATAGAGATTTAACAAATCTCGATTTAATAGGAAATTACTAAATTAAAAATCTATTTTTTGCGTGATCATAGGCCCATTACTAAAAGAAATTACCAAATTAAAAAATTAATATTAACCGGAAAATATAGGTATAGAGACAAAAGTTAAATAGTTCTGAATGTATTATTGCCGCTGCTGCTGTCGTTATTTTAATAGTATGATGGAATATTAAGTTTGTGACATCCCCGCACAATTTTTTTCTTGTCACTTTATGAACATTTATCTCGTTTAATTTAAGTAACCATGCTTTTAATTTTTAGAGGATTATTTCTTATGGCACTATTTTTTTTTTTTTTACCTATTTTCAAAAGATCTTTTATATATATATATATTAAAAACAACGAAAACAAGATAAATAATGACATACAATAATCAAAAGATACAATTAAATAAATTATCAACACATAGGATTTATGTGGTTCAAGCAAATTGCTTATCCCACGGGCGAGATGAAAGTTTTTATTAGCTTGATAGCAGAAGAATATAAGAACCCCGAAGGCTAAATACAAAATCTTTGTTTTTTACTCTATTTCCCAAACAAAGATATAAGGAAGTTTAAATACATCATATCCGGAAAGGAAAAAAAACTTAATAGACTAAATATATTATTGGCCCATAAATTCAAGCCATATACTACAAATCTCTACCTTGGCTTGAATTCTCAAACCTTCAAGATTGTCAAATAATTCCTCAAAACACACCTTTAAGCTTACGTGAGCTAACTTGGTGCAAGAAACAAAAGATGTGAAAAGAGAAAATATTGACTTCAACATTGGATCAAACAAAATTCCTTCTCTCCAAAAATACCCTAACATATACATACGGATGTTCGAGGCACACGAGCTGCATTCATAAGTACATGACCAAAGCAACAAAGTGACATGCTCGTGCTTTACTCTCCAATTCAAAACACCACACGGCAAGTGGTACGAGGCACGTGTGTAAGATAGAAGTGTCACACGTACGGAGGCATTTGGCACGTACGCAAGACAAATGCTTCACACATGCAGAGGCATAAAGCACAAGCACAAGATAAGTGTTTCACACAAGCAAAGACATAGTGGCATGGCCACAAGACAAATGCTTCACAGAATAGAGACATAAGATCGAGAGAGAGAAGAAACCTCACACGATCATGCCTCTCTCATTCACACGATCGAGCCTCTTTTTCGGTAGCACGCTTTGATTTTTTAACACCACTCAAGCTCAAAAATATATGAACTTGTTTGGTATAACAAGTTTAGCTAACACGTCGATTGAATTGTCTTTAATGTGAACTTTCTTCACCGTAGTCTTTTTATTAGAAACTGCTTCATGGATAAAATGATAAATGATATCGGTATGCTTAGTCCTCTTGTGATGTATTTGATTTTTGATTAAGTGTGAGAGCACTCGGTTGTCACAAAAGACAACCGAATTTTTTCTTGTTGAAGACCAAGTTCCTCCATAAGATTCCTCAACCAAATAGCCTCCTTCATAACCTCAACTCGCTGCCATATATTCTACTTTAGTAGTGGACAAAGCAACCATCGACTATAATGTTGATCTCCAATTAATAGCAAAACCAAAAAGTGTAAAGATATACTCGTCAAAGATCTTCTTTTATCGAGATCACTTGTATAGTTAGAATCCATAAAGTTTACAATAGAAGTTTCGAAGCACTATCCCTTTCAAAGAATAAACCCAACTCCGTGGTACATTTGATATACTTAAGAATCCACTTTGTTGCTTGCCAATGTATCTTTCTTAGGTAAGCCATATATCTACTCACAATACTAACCGCCTAGGCAATGTCTAGACGAGTGCGGATCATAACATACATTATGCCGCCTACTATATTGAAATATATAACTCATGACATTTCTTTCTCTTCTTCTTCATTATGAGGTGACCGAGAAGCCGAAAGTCCGAAGCGAGTAGCTAATGACGTACCGACGAGTTTGACCTTCGCATATCAAAATGCTCTAACACTTTCTCAATATATTCTTATATGAAAGATATAATTTTTCAACCTTCCCGTCTCGATGGACCTCCACACCTAAGTCTTCTTTGATGCTTCAAGATCTTTCATCTCAAACTCATCACCGAGTCGTTTCTTCAGCATTTGAATTTCCGACATGTTACTAGCAACAATAAGTATGTGATTTATATATAATAAGAGATACACAAAAGATCCATTTGATAACTATCCGAAATACACATAACTATCGTAAGTAGATCTTGAATAACCATGATTAAGCATAAAACAATCAAACCTCTTATACCACTCGCCTTGGTGATTGTTTTAGGCCATATAAAATTTTTTTCAATCTACAAACATGGTCTTCTTTCTCTCTATCAAGTATCACTCTAGTTAAGACATATAAATAATCTCCTCAAGTTCTTCATGTAAAAAAACTATTTTTAGATCAAGTTGGTCGAGCTCCAAATCAAATTGAGTCCCCATAGCAATCAACACATGAATAGTGGTATGTTTCATAACTAGAGAAAATATTTCATCAGTAGTCAATTCCTTTTTTCTAACTATAATCCTTAGCCACCAATCGTCTTTTGAATCTAGCATCTTCAACACATAGTATTCCTACCTTTTTATTGTAGGCCCATTTACATCCAATGACTCTATTACATTTAGGTAATTTCATCAAATTTCAAGTCCGATTTTTATAGAGTGACTTGAGTTCTTCTATCATTGTAACGATCTACTAACTAGAATCTTCATAAATCAATATCTCTCGTATAGGTAGAAGGCTCCCGAATACCCATTGTCTCATCTCCAGTGAGGGCATAGGCTACTAGATCAGCATAAGCATATTTCGAAAAGGTTTTATTTCTCTTCTCTCTCGAGCAGTAGCTATCGAGTAAGGCTTTTTAGATTTTATGGTATCTTCATTCATATTTGAATCTTGTTGCATGTTTATAACTATAGGGGATACATCCGGGGATGGTTTTGAAGGAGTCTTTCTTTTAAGCTCTACTTGAATCTCCACCTTATCTACAGCTTTCTCACTCTTTCTCGTAGACTCACAAATAACATTTTTTTGATTAAGTATATATCTCTCATTAAAAGTAACATCTTTGCTAATAATGAATTTAAATGAATTAGGTTTAAAACACTATAGGCAATAACCTTTCATCGTATCAATATAGCCAACAAATATGTATTTCTTTACTCCGGGTTCAAGTTTACCATCTTTCATATGATAATAAGCGGGACATCTAAATACTTTTAAATTTAAATACTTACTAGACTTAGCCGATCATACCTTATTTGGAGTCTTACAATAAATGATAGTAGAGGAAGAATGGTTGATAAGATAACAAATTGTGTTAATTATTTCAATCGAAAATCCTTTTCCAAACCTAAATTAGAGAGCATACATCCAGCTCTCTCTATCAAACTCCTATTTATACACTCTGCCATCTTATTTTACGAGTGTGTCTAACGTGAGTGTGTCTAACCGTGTGATGTTGGACAATCCCTAAGTTTGTACAAAACTAATTAAAATTTTCACTATAAAATTTTAAGCTATTATCTATTCGAAGATGTTTAACCTTATTTCTTGTTTGATTCTTTATTAGAACTTTTTATTGCTCGAAGGCTTTGAAAACGTCACTCTTATGTTTGAAAAAATAAACTCAAACCTTTTTAGAGTAATCATAAATAAACACCAAAAAATAAAGTACATCACCTTTGGATGGAACTCGAGCTGGTCTCTATAAATTTGAATGAATGTAATCAAGTATGAGTGTTAATAGAGAAATGCACTCTACTTTGCTTTCTTAAGACACAATGCTCACTAAAATTAAGTGATGTCATTTGATCATCACAAAGCAAATCACATATACTCGGAGTAATCATCAATAAATATCAAAAAATAAAATACATTAGCTTTGGATGGAACCTAAGTTAGTCTCTATAAATCTTAATGAATGTAATCAAGTATGCCCTTTGTAGAATGAGTACTAATAAAGAACTACACTCTAGTTTGTTTTTTTAAGACATTATGCTCACGTAAATTAAGTGATATCATTTGATCATCACAAAGTAAATCACATTTACTCCAAATAGTCATACCTCTCTCACTCCCGTGGCCCATATGCATACGTCATAATTGAGTCCTTTTCTTTTCGCAGTAGAAAGTAATTACCCCTTAGAACTTATTATTGTAGTATCTTATAATACGTAGAGACGATTAATCCGAGTTACTTTAATCACAATCAAAGAACCCCTTAAAAACCTTAAGAATACCATTTTTACCGAATATTTATAACCTCTCAAATCCAAATAACTTAAAAAGAAATTAGATTCTTCTTTAAATTTGGTATATGTCTTATTTTCGTTAAAATCCTCACAATTGAATCATGACACGTGATACGAATTATACCAATACCAATCATCTTACAAGCTAAATTATTATCCATTAGAATAGAGCCACCACTTATAGGTTTATAAGTGGTAAACCACTCTTTATTTAGAAAAAAACATGATAAGAAACACCTATATCTAAAATCCATTATTGGTCAAAATGATTAGTAGAGAACATCTAGTAAGAAAATTTTT